CTTCACGAATGTCGATAAAAATATGTTGATTTACGAACACATCTATCATTAGTTATTTTTGAAAAGATGACATGATAGTGATAATAGTCATGATGATACGGTTTTATCATACTCCGAAAAATGTAGTATCGACACACGTTATTGGAAAATACGTTGTATTTTTATATAATTGGACAAGTGTGTGCGGTCGCAATATCAATTATACTCACGATAATTGTTATTGGCGCCTGAAAATTGCCAGTGATTGTACTTTGGGATCGTAAATTATAATATATCATATAAATTGAAAAACTACAGGGTGGTTCCAATACAACAATGCCTCAACAAGATTTTTCTTCTTTTGCTCTTTTATGCGCTGCCAAAACACTATCAGACAAAAAGATAATTTGATGAGCACGATAAATAAATGGCAATAATAATTTTTCCCACAATGAATACACATCGGACGATCAGATCACATGTTCTTGCCTGTTTTTTTGCAATCACTAAAACGAGAAATTAAAAAGGCCAGCTTTGACTATTATTTTTGAAAAACTCGATTCATTAGAAAATAAAAGCAACCAGTTTAAGTTAAAAAATTTTCGTTTAATTTGCATCGAATTATGGAATGAGTTCACACAGCTTCAAGTTTATATCCTTCGAATACGCATAGTGATAAATTATATTTACTTCAGCATACCATTCCATTGTATTATTTTATAAAATCTCCTTTTATAATCTTGTTGGATAGATATTTCTGTAATAATATATAGTTGTTTTTTTTACATCTGATACAGAAAATCTATTACGAGTTTTATATCTACGTAATAAATTTTTTAATTAAGTAACTTTAATCTCTTAAGAAAATAGAAGTCTTTAAACTATTATTTGTCAATTCACTTTGTTAGATGAATATCAATATTAATTATTACGCAAAATTAAAAAACTTTATCATGAAATTTTAGAACTCACTACCATTTTAAACATACAGCCAAGCTCAATATAATAATAATTTTTTAAGAAAATCATATTTGGTTTTATGATATTTATGTTTGATCTAAGCATTGTTATAATGTCAAATTACAACTCTATGCTATTCCACTTTAATAAAAAATTTCTGTATTTTGTAATTTTATATCAACAAACAAAATTCATGCTAAATTCATGAATATACTATTATTGAATATTGAAATTTATCCCTCCGTCCAGTACAGTATATAAAAGATAAAAAAAGCAACGGTTGAAGTTGTAAAATAAAAACCACAAGTAATCGGATTTAATATCAAATTTATGTGTTTTTTAACACCAATAAAATGCTCAAAACGAGAAGGAAAATTCTATAAGTTTCGACAAACAGGTGTTTTCTTGAAAAAAGATATCACGCTGAATAGTGAAATAATATCAAACTTTTGCTGAGCAAAATCTTATTAAAAGGTTGCACAACACAAATAAGTTTTGAATTAAAAGCAAAATATTTTGATTATAAATTTCTTTGAAATAGAAAAATTCAACTAATTCAGGAGCTTGATCATGTGCGTTCTCTTTAGCCACGTTAATGCTAAGTCGAGATTCCATCCCATATTGAAAAACTTTTCCAAAATTAAACTATGTTTATTATGTCCTAATTCTGCTCCTTTCGTAACTAAATCTCAGAAAACATGCGGCTAAAGGTGACCCAGCCTGTGCAGATTTAGATAAATATTCCAATGCTTTTGTCTCATTTCTCGTTATTCCTCGTCCAAGCTCATAACAGGTCCCAAGATAAAATTGTGCTCCAGAATTTTCTGCTTTCAAATACCATTCGATTGCTTTTTGTTCATCTGTGTTTGCTCCTGTTCCATGAGAATAATAAACACCAAGTGTATTTTATGTACTAGAGTATCCAGTTTCTGCTGCTTCAAATATCATTCGAATGCTTTTTGTTCATCCTTGATTGTTACTTTTTCCAAGAGTGAAGAAGTAAAAAGATCAGGCCGTAGTCTAGCCAGCAAAGTTAAATTGTTGACCAAGTTGAAACAATTAGATACCAAAAAAGCTAAAATCATTGCGAAAATTAATTAAATGAAAGTCCAAAAAGTGGTATAATTTTCATGAAAGTAAACAAGATTAAATTATGCTTGAGAAATTCCAGACTCTGCAGCTTTCAGCTACCACTCGAATGCTTTTTCTTCATCTTTGTAACAAGATTATATTGCGCTCCAGGATCTCCATCTTCTGCTGATTTAAATACTATTTGAATGCCCTTTGTTTGTTCCTTCTCCATTTTCATAACAGAGAGCAAATAAAATTGTGATTTAGTATCTCCAGCTTTTGCTGCTTTTAAATACCATTCGAATGCTTTTTGTTTATCTTTATTTATTCCTTTTCCATTTTCATTCCAATCATTTGCTCATTTATGACTTCATTTTTTTAGATCTTTCCTCTATATTATCTTGTAAATACGTTTTGACTCAATTGGTTATCTTCTCTTTTCTTTTTCCATACTATTATTTTATAAGCGCTCAATTTTTTCGGTCTTGGCAAATCAGATAACTCAGTATTGAAAGTTGCTTAAAGCACGCCTGTTTTTTAATATATATATACATGTACATGTATTTCTTAAACTACATGTATACGTATAATCTTTAACCTTTATTAAAAAAAGGAAAAAATTCATAGTTGAAACCAGGAGCGAGAATTAACACGACTTACCTATCGAAACCAAACTAATTCTGAAAGTAATTGGGAATCAAGTAATAATGAATTATGGAATGTATCTCGAAAATAACAATCAAAACATTAATCAAGTAAATGTATGGTGTATTAAATTATTTTAACTTTCATGGCAAAATTTAAAGATTACTAATAAAATTATAATTTTTTAAAAGCCTATAACTTTTGTAAAATTGATTTTTTTAATGTAGAATTATAAGCTAAATATTCATTTTATGTTATTACAATCCCAATCAATAATTTAGTAATAAGTGTTAATATAACATATATTAAAAACTATGGGACTAGATGATATGCACTGTGCCTGTCTGTCTAACAAAAGTTCACATAATTTCTATACTCATATAAATAGAAGAATTTAGTATGATCAAGAAATATGCTCTAATGAAAATAACTCACCTTTACTTGTTAATTAATTATCTTCAAAGCTTGTCATATGTACTTTTAATGGAGAAGCTTTGTTTATAAACAAACCTTGCTTTAAATTTGATCATTAATTATATTCACAGAAATCAAGTCCAACTTTTGATTTTGAACACTTTAGTTTTGTTTAAATGAAACTATTTGAATTATTATTTCCAGACTGCATCAATAAATTCTGCTGCTTAAAAACCTCCTCAAATTATATTTTATTATTATCAGAAATTTCATTTGTTAGTGATTAATTTTCATATAATTTGTCACAGAAATCTTTAGAATATTAAAGAGGTCTTTTAATATTATCATAAACTGCTAACTAATATATCCAGATATTTCCAATATCTATTTTAGTATTCTGAGTATCCAAGTAAGAGAGATACTTTGTATTAATAAGAGATATATTTTATGAGTTATATTTCAAAGAAATTACTAGAAATTTATTTTTTTTGAGAACCATTGCAAATGTAGATATTTGTACTTTGATCAAATACATTTTTTATTGTATACACATAAATTAATAATTGACATGATTTTTTAATTTTTCACTTTGATTGATATATAAAAATTTCATTTTTTGACTTCAAATTTTCAAAAAATATCTCTATACAAAAGAATCACTCCAAAATGATCTTGTTTTATGAAAAAAACTTGTTGTACTTGGTATGCTCATGAAAAACTCATGGTTATTCATTATTTGAAATATGTTAACAATATGTATAGAACAGTTAAAAGATTTGGTATTAAACTTAAGCAAGTTTATAAGTAAAGAAGTAAAAAAAAAGAATTATTTGATGCTATATCTTATATTCTAATACTTAACCATGGTTCCAAATTGCTTGAAGAAAGACTTGTTGTGTGGGTTATGAAACTACATGATAGACAAAATGCCATAATACAAAATATAGTGATATAAAAAGCAAAATCAATCTTGCAAACTGATAAATTTAAATATTTTTATCCTGATATTATCAACTTTAAATTTTCTGATTGATGGTTAAGTAGATTTTTACATTATCATGATCTTTTGAATCATTGTCAAATAACTATTACATAATATTTTCCTGAAAATCTTATTGAAAAACAAAGTGAATTTTTAAGCTTTGTTTTGTTAAAATATCATCAACACAAGTTTCTAATAAAATATATTGGAAATATAGATGAAATATCATTATCTTTTGATCTTCCTTGTACTATAATTCTTGAGTAATATGATGCCAAGACCATTAATATTCAAATAACAGGGCATGAAAGAACTTGTTTTATTATAATTCTTGAATGTCTTGCTGATAGTATGAAACTTCCTCTTACATGCATCTTCAAACTAAAAAACATCTCACATGAAAGCTTTCCTCAAGATGTTATTATCTATATCAATGAAAAAAAATGGTGTAATAAACAAGAAATGAATTATTAAATTGATACTATTTGGACTAAATGTAATGAAATGAGAAATCCAAAATCTTTTCTTGTTTTGGATTCATTTAGAGACCATTTAATTGAATTAATTAAACAAAATTTTAAAGAAAAGAATACTTATCTTGCAGTCATTCCAGGTGAATTAACTAGCAAACTTCAACTGCTAGATGTTGCAATTAACAAAAGTTTCAAACAAAAGGTAAATTAATTTTTTTATTATTATATAAAATATATTTATTGAATTTTTAATTTATTAGATGCATAATTGTTACAATGAATAGATGGTTAATGAAGTTCATCAATTAACACCAGTCAGATACATTCGAAAACCATCATATGCAACAGTTGCACAATGGATTAAAAAATCATGGAATGATATTGATCCTAACTTAATTAGGAAAGCATTCAAATGTTGTGGCATTTCAGTAAGAATGGATGGAACAGAAGATGAATTGGTATTTGATTATGTAGGTTTAGTAGAAGAAGATAGTGATGAAAGTTTGGTAATTGATTCTATTGATGGAGAGACATATAATGAAGTAGAAGCTTATGAAAATGATTGGACAAATGAAGAATAGTTAGAGATATTAGATAAATAAAATTTTGTTGTTATACCTGGGTATTCCCATGGGATAGGGGTATAATTCTTTGAATTATACTATGTAAAATATCTGGGTCTAAATCAAAAATTGGACCCAAAAATCATTACAGGATCTTAATCATAGGGGGATCTATTAGTCAGCAGTTTACGGTAAATTATTCATTCTAACACGCTTAATTCTATTACTCTTAAATCAAAATTGTACGTGACCATATCTGGGTTCGTATACGTATCGCTGCTCAGATTAAAATTTTCCTATTGTTCGCGCTAATTAAAGAATTATTGATTTTAAGCTTTTTAGAGTATTTATATTATCAAGATTCCTATTAAATTTTTGTTCTTAGATATTTCAAAACAAATATTAAAAGTTTAGTTCAAGCATCTCAAATGATGTAATTAATTTATACATTTAATATAAATCTCTGTTGATAAATATATTGCTGTGTGAATTGTCTCCTAATTGTACAGTTATCTCTTAATATTATATGTACATGTATATGTATTAAAAATTGTTAACCTCAATACATGTACTAGCTTTATTTTATGTTTTAAAATCTAATATTCAAACATTCTTATATTAAATATCAACCTACTATTTATTTCGTTTATATAAATGAAAAAACAATTTTAATAAATATTTGAAATTAAGCAGACTCAAAGGCGAATGTAATACAAAAGTGCCTATACTATCCTTTGTTAAATTTGTTTAGTTAATTTTAAAAATTGTTGCCAATTGAACTGACTTGACTTAATACAGAGCTGGCTGAATTTATTTCAATAAAAAAAATATAATATTACTTTATAGTTTAGTTTATGAAACTAACGGCGTAAGAAACTTTTTATTAAAGAAATTAAATTATTTGGTTTAAAGCCTGTTTCTTTTGATGTTGTTTCAAGCCGATATCTTGAAAAATTCAGGTCATATATGAATCAAGCTAGTATTTAAATAATATATAGAATTTTTTCTAAATTAATTTATTTTTTTGAAAACGCGTAATTTAATGTATAACATTAATATATTTCGAAAGTTTACAGTGTTTTATCAGATTTCTATTTTAACCGGTTTCAAGAATTTTTGATTTTGCAGACCGCACGGAAATAATGATGTCAAAATTTTTAACGCCCCTTTTTTGAAGAGACTGATGTGAGACAATACATTACAACATACCTTAAAATCCTAAAACACATTTTTAACCATTTTAGCGTTATTTAATACGGGAAATGTAGAGTTTTAACAAGATAATGTTCTAAGACATGTCGCAGGAAAAGCTATGGAATAGTTCAAGGCAAAAAAATTATGGACTGACCAGTAAGTTCACCCGATCTTAACTCTATAAAAAACAGCTTGAAATATTAAAGGATAACATTCAGAAGCATATACATTTTCCAAGAACCGTTGATAAGCTTAAAGTCACCCTAAAGGAGGAGTGGTCGAAATTTGATGTCTCTATTTGGAAATTGTTATTACAAGACTAAGGAGAATTCACATGTTATCGAAATCAAAAGAGGATCAATAAAAGCATTAAAATATTTTTATGTAAAAATAAAATAATCACATATATTTTTGAAGTTTTATTTTAATTGTAAATCGGACGTTACTTTTTGCGGTGACTAGCAACGAGACAAAACGAGGTCGTTGGTGAGTATATATACACATGGTACAAACTAACTTGAACCTATATTTGACCAGTATGCCATATCGTACATATTTTGGAACGGTACAGTACATATACTTGTCACTGATTTCTATAAAAATTGTGATTCAGAGTTAGCAAATTCCTTTTCAAATACAAAGCTTTGATTAATCTTCTCTAACGCTAAAATATTTTTTAATTCATCGGATAAGTCTGCACACGACAAATTCAAAGCTCATAAAAAGACATTATAGTCGCAACGTTAAAACATGTAGTACTCTCAGAACCGAATTTGAGTTTTGAATCAGATTTGAGTTATTGATTAAAATTCAATAGGACATGAAAGAGTAAGTCTAAACAAAAGCGCTTTTGACGGAGGATTTTGATTAGACAACTTCTCAACATATTTGTAAATAATGGCAGTGCTTATTGTTAATAAATAAAATTTATAACGGATAACTATTCCAGATCTTTTATTGGCATTAATTATTTTCGGTATAGAAGCAAGGAGATGCCAATTCCAATACCGAATTTGTCGAAGGTTGGGATTCAGAACGTTGGTGATTTATTAGGGCATTGATATATTATTTAAGAATGAATCAAACTAAATTCGTTTTTCAAAGAAATGATATTTATAAAGCAGAACTATCTTCTATGAAATTTATTAAAATGACAATAACTTTAATTATCTGATGTTTCGCAACTATTCATTCAACTATTAATATATTAAATTATCGTTATCAATAATTATTTTGATATTTTAATTCTCTATTAAATAAAACCAAATAAACTTTCAGTAATGAATAAATAAACATAAACAAATAAATATAAACAAAAATTATAAAAAATACCTTCAACAAAATGTGACATCCTCAATATTAATTCTTCATCATATTTAAAGTTCATCTTGAATTTGATGCAATCAGGCGCATCAGAATAAACAATGTCACATATATGTGGATTTGAAACAAACTTTGAACCCTTAAATTTGGTTCTTAAATATTGCGAAATATTAGAATGGAATTTGTTTGCTAACTTATATGCAACTTTTGTCCCGCAAGAAATATTACGGGAATAATCTCTTTGCTTAATTTTACATGAATCGGACTTCAAATGAATTTCTAAGCCTTCCTCCATCGATCGCATTTCATTCAAAATTTGTTCCTCCAAAAAGACGAGAAATTCATCAAGATATCTGCTAAGCTGAAGATGTACCTCTTTTATGTGATGATCTTCAATATTGATTTGAAAATAATCAAGTTCAGATTCGACTTCCTCTCTTGTCGCCCAAAATTCAGAATGTTTATCGTCAAATTTAGTAGGAAAATAAAGTTTTCCAGATCTATAGTATTCCATAATGTAATGAAATGCTCGTCCATTACGATCAAAAAAATATTCGTTTCCATTTTTTGGTTTCAAAAGATGTTGATTTCTTTCTGCAAACATCGTTCCAAGTAAAGTATCTGGATAGGCAGTTAAAGTTGATTGCAAAGTTTCATACTACATGTACATGTATTTAATGTAAAATTAGTAAACGAGAAGGTCTAATATTTATAGCGATCCTTAGATACCTTTAGTCCACCAACGTTGAGGACGACAATTTGGGATTGGGAGTTGTTTTCATCCATAGTTTTTTACTAACATCACCCAACACGATGAGTTGGTATTGTTTTTATTGTTTTTTTTAAGATGATGTTCACGTGCGTCATTGCTGTGATTGTTTACTAAATATGGAACATGAAATACAAAAAACTGCTATTAAATGAAACTATAAAATTTTGCGGCGAACAATCAACAGCAAAAAATGGTTTCTACACAACTGGCAATTTTAATAGCACAATCGCGACAGCTTTGTCGTATTTCTGGGAAATAAACAAATTGCGAATAATCTATAAATATATTCTCTAGGATGTCGGAAGCAAGTTTTCTTAAATACTACAATAATATTTTGTGAAATTTGGTGTCAGGTGTGACGAATTGGAATTTTTAACAATTAAATAGGACTAAAAGTATTATAGTATTATTTAATTGTTAAAAATTCAAATTTGTCACTTTTGATACAAAACAATGAAGAAGTCGCTGTCATATGATATCATGCATATCAATAATTATGCCTCACATTTGTTAATGATATTATTTTATGCGTATGATATCTTTCGAAATAACGTGACTTCACCATCCTTCCCTGATCCCATGATTTTTCGTTAATATAGACAAAAACATCCATTTTTTAATCTAATGATTCAAATCTCATAATAGTTCCGAATATTAAATTATTAAAAATATTTTTTATGGAGATTGGTCCATTAAAAATACTATAAGTTAGCCATTTTTATATTTATTTAATATTAATTATAATAATTAAATAAATTTTATATAATTAGAAGTAACAAAATTTGTTCAATTTCATATTATATATTTTATTTTCAAAATTATATATAATTAAAATCTTTTTATATTTATAGATTTTTATTCTTGAGTTTTCCAGGTATTATAAAATATACTTTTTATTTTGCTTTTCAAGAATGATGAATAAGATTTATCTGCAAATTATTTTAATAAAGATATTTTTTATAATTCCTTATAAATTTTAATAAAAATATTATATAACTTTATTTAATAAATATATAAAAAAATAATTCTAATTTTATATTTAAATTTATCTTATAATATTTTGTAAAATATTGCTAATTCTTTTTAACTAATTAAAAATTAAAATCTAATTAATTTAATAAAATTTAAATATTAATAACTAATATATAAAATATTTTCTATTCTAATAAAAATTTATTATATTAAGAATTTCTTGATATAATAATAATCAAAAGTAATATGATACTTAAATTTTTTACTAATTATAATTATGTTTTTTCTTATATATAAAAGTTTTTAATTTTATTAACAAATATTTTTTATTTTTAGCTTGAAAAATCTCTAGCTTAACATATATTTTTTTGGATTTTCAGATTTTTTATCAGTGACTTGTTCTAATTACATATAGTAGTAATCAAAAGTAATGACTTGGGGACTAAATTTATTAATAAAATATAGTGAAAATTGAATTTTTATTAATTAATAATTAGTAAAAATTAATTAATTTTATATGTAATTAGAACAAATTGCTGGTAAAAAATCTGAAAATTCTGAAAAAAAATATATGTTAAACTAGAGAATTTTAGCTATTTTTTGAGCTAAAAATAAAAAATATTTGTTAATAAAATTAAAAACTTTTATATGTAAGGAAAATCTTGTATTTTACTAATTATAATTAATAAAAAATTTAAATATTGCATTATTTTTGATTATCACTATATATATTAAATTAAAAAATTTATTATTTTTTAAGTTAAAAATAAAAAATATTTATATATAATAAAATATATATTTTATTAATTATAACTAAAAAAAATTCAAGTATTATATTAATTATAATTATTATTATATATAAAAAGTTTTAATTTTAAATAATTTTTTATTAAATTATAATAATATTAAGAAATTAAGTTTTTATATAATAACTATCAAAAGTAATATAATACTTAAATTTTTTAATAATTATAATTAGTAAAAAATTTAAGTATTATATTAATTATTATTATATATTTAAAATTTAAATCTTAATTATATCAAAAATAATAAATTAAATATAACTAAATTATTTATATATATATATATATAATATTTTATAATAAATTAATAAGTGGATTTTCACTTGAATTTATCTTAATGATATAGAATTAGAAAAAACTGAAATAATTAAAAGATAAAGAGAGAGAAATTAGACTATAACTTTTAATAATAATAAAGATTTCTAAGATCTATATTAATATTTATAGATATTGTCTTAATAAAAGATAAAATAAATAAAGAAAGAAAGAATTAAATTAAAGAAATTATAAAGATTAACTTAGTAAAGCCACTAGTAATCAATATAATTCAAGATTTAATATAATTAAATAGTAAAATTACTATTAATCAAAAAAGACTATGATTAAAGAAAAAGTAAAAACTAAAATATGAAAACTAAATAACTAAATAAAATGTATATGACTTATTTATAGTAAAGATTTTCTACTCTCAAAAACAAAATAAATAAAAGTATGTCTTATTTATAGTAGAGATATTCTACTTTTAAAATAATATCAAAAATCATAAATTAATATAATATTATAATTTAAAATTATAATTAACTTTGTATAGTTAAAGAAATAAAATTAAGTAAAAAAAAGAGTACTATATAATTAGAAAAGAGATCTTGTAAAAAGATTACTATTATTATAATAATAAGTTTTTTAATTATATTTTTCAAATAATTCAATTCAAAACTATTTATTTC